TCCTTAAATCTCTGTCATCTTCCTGCAAACCTCTCAGTCTAATTGCATATTCTGTAAAATTGTATTGGATCATTAAAACTTCTCTTTCAATCCTCTGTTGTACATTTTCTTCATTAACAGTCTTTTGATCAGCCTCCATTTTAAGTTTGTCTTCTGAACTATTATCCTGAATGTTTGCCAAATCCTTTTTAATTTTTTGGATCTTGTCATCCAAATTCTCCTCAGTTTCTTTCATTTTAGAGTTAGTATTTGCTTCCAACTGAGTCATAAAGTCTGCTAAGCCATTAGCTACTTTTAAAATCTTTCGATCCAAAAAGCCAAACTTAGATTTCACCAATTCACCAATTTCTTTGATTTCCAACTTAAATTTTTCAAGTTGCTGATTCACAATCTCATCCCTTCTTACAATCTCCTCAAGAAGAAATTCTATTATATTAAAGTCAGGTTTCTGAGACTGGAGAGTTAAAACTTGTTGATGTAATTTATTAATGGGGGAATCCCCCCCACTGCCTGTTTGTCTAATTTTATAAGTCTCAGTGCCATTTTTCCACGCAGACAAAATTTACTGGAAAAGAGAGAAAAAAAAAACTTTTTTTCCAACCAAGATCAATATCAGATCCTCAAAGAGAGAAAAAAAAAAGAAAGAAAAAAAAACAGAAGTGAGAGTGAGATTTTGCCTTCAGTTACAGCCAAAAGTATTCATTCCGCTACTTTGTAATTGAAAACGGAAGGAGTTTCCCTTTCAGCCTCTCTTCAAGCCGCAGCAGCAATCGCCATTTTAAAAAAAAAACTTTTTTCCCTTCACTTCACTTCTTAGGCAAAATAGAATAAAAAGAATACTTGCGCTTCAGGATCAGAGGTCCAGCTCATATCTTCTTTAATTAATTTATTTGACAGATTTACAGGCTTGCTTTTGCCCCCTAGCTCTGCGTGTAGCAGAGATTTCCCAGAGCCCGGAGCATCGGCTGGGGATACGGGGAGTCTCTTCCGCTCCCTCCCAAAAGTAAATAAAAAACCTTTGGGATTAGGCAGAGGACTCTACCCACCCCAGCCGGCTCTATCTCCGTTTCCTAATGGAAACGGAGTTTTTTCGAGCCGCCATTCCGCTGAAAAAGGCGGCTCTTACAGGCAGTGGGTTCGACGATCCCGGAGGAGCGTCCAGCGGGAACAAGCAGCAAACCGGAAGTGATCTACTCCTGACAATATTCATAAGCTGAGTTTATTATAGAAAGGACTCAAAATGTTTGGTCTAACTAAATGTGTTTCTTGAAAACAAGTAATCTACATATAATGAGAAACATAGTAGAATTGGTATCCAAGCATATGAATGGGACATCCTGTTTTATTTATCCTCTACATACAAATGCATATTAAATGCTATCTGCAATATCTATATACTAAAACTCTCAAGCTTGTTTATTTGTAATCTTCAGTTGGGTGAAATTGGAAGGTATAGGGGAACAGTTATTGAATCAAGTAACTCAAAAGACCTAATTTACAGAATGCCAGGACCTAGGAATTCCATGGGAATAAATTGGAAAGTTGTGGCTGCTTCAGTATTGCTTCTCTGTTACTGCTTAAATGCTGCTGCTGTGCTGCCATGGTCAGTTGTAGTCATATGATCCTTATTTCCATGCTTGGGAAATAAAATTCCTGATAGCAATTCTGAAGTCAATGGGGAAGCTGACAAGAACTGTAAAATTGATTGTGATTGCCAATGCTCCCTGCCCCCTTCCTATTGGGGGAAGCTGCAGGGAGAAAGATGACGGGAAAACTGGCAGGGAACGTTTCAAGTTGCTCAGGTAAGTCTATCCCACCAGTTGCTCTGTACTCATGCTGCACAGGCCACTTGTGTACTTTTTCACTCCCTCCTGCACTCACCTGCCTCTGGGAAGGAGAGAGAAGAGGCAGCAGTCACTCACCTGCATCTGAGGGAGGGAGGGAGGGAGGGAGGGAGGGAGGGAAGGAAGGAAGGAAGGAAGGAAGGAAGGAAGGAAGGAAGGAAGGAAGGAAGGAAGGAAGGAGGAGGAGAAAGGAAGCGAGAGAGCAAGGGTGAGCAGGAAGCAAGCAATTAGGAGAAAGGAAGAGTTCAGATGCTGCCTGCCAGCTCACCACAAAGAGATTCAGTGGGAAAGCTAAGAGGTAGTCGGAAACAGACCCACTCCCACTGACTTTTTGGCTATCCATTGTCATTCTGTTTTTCTCTTTAGATAAGGAAAGATCTCTGAAATTATGAATTGTCTAGTAATTACTGTATTAGTATGCATTAAAATTTGGCACCATCATTATTTTTTTGATTCTGTGTTTCTGTAAGATAACAACCAAGTCTTTTATATATACAAATAGAAAATAGAAAATGGATTTCATTGAAAACAAAGCATCAGTAATGGATAAATGCTCTATAAATTTCCTTGGAACTAATCATGCTAAATCCAATTATGCTATGAATAACTGCAATTCAATATAAAATAAGCCATAGCAGAAAAGAGAAATATTTTATAACTGTATATGCATAGAAGTATTTATCTTACCTGGAAAATTTAGAACCTAACTCACTCCAACTCATGTCAGATAACAACAATTAAAATAACTAAAAATCTACAACACACACACTTTCAATTGCAATTATTTATCTAACACAAGTTACCTAATTAGAGCAAAGACAACAAATAGAATTCTTGCAAAAAAAAAAAAATCACTGTGGGGTGTACAATTACTAAGGAGGGTGCCAATATGGCTTCCTGTGATGAGGTGTTTAGGTGTGGCATTCAGTGAATATTGCAGGAATAGAATAGTATGAATATTTGTGCTGAATTCTGGAAAAGCTGCAGAAACAGTTTCAAAAAACGATTCAAAGGTACTTCCACATAGAGCAGTAATGGCTAACCTTTTCTGGACCAAGTGCCCAAAGCGCACACCCCAACCCCCAAAATGCAATGCGTGTGCAGCAGGGGTGGGTTCTACTTACCTTTACTATCGGTTTGCAATGGGGCCGCGCGTGTGCGCTCGCTTCACTCACACATGCACATGCTCTTCTGCGCAAGCACAGAACCATTTTCATGACATCAGGGTCAGTGGGTGGAGCCTCCCACCAGTTTTACTACCAATTCTATAGAACCGGTGCGAACCGAGGGCAACCCACCACTGGTGTGCAGCCCCTGTGTATGCGCCCCACCCTCTGTGCATGCAAGTACACTCCCCACCTGTGCCCTACTCCATGAGCATATGCCCGTACCCTCTGCCCATGACCCGCCCCCGTGTATGTGCATGCCCCCCCTGCAGTGTCCCCCCCCATGCATACATGGCAGAGACCTGACAACTAACTAGCTGGTGAGAGGTGCGTGCACATGCGTGGCAGAGCTGAACTGGGGCAACAGCTTGCGTGCCCACAGAGAGGACGCTGCGTGCCACCTGTGGCACATGTGCCAAAGGTTCACCATCATGGACATAGAGTATATTGCATTAATTTAAGCTAGACAAATGCACTTCTGATTGCAACTGTCATTTAACCTTCCAAGTGCAAAACTGAAACTAGAAACATTCCAGACTGTGAACCAATTTCTCCAGTGAATATTACCAGATCCAAAACAATTGAAATTCTACTCCTATCTACTTTTGCTTCTCAATTAGAAATATGTTAATTTATTACTCAGTCAACTTTTCTTATAGGTTCTGCAAGATACTGATTCAGAACATCAACAATTTTCCTGGTAGAAGATGCAAAAAAAAAATTGCAGCAGATGTCAACCATATATTAACAACAATGGGCCCAAACTTCCCTGATAAATCTTGCCAACCATATCCTTGACTTATGACCACAATTGAGGACAAAATTTATGTTGCTAAGTAAAACATTTTGTTAAGTGAATTTTGCTCCATTTTACAACATTTCTTGTAACAGTTGTTAAGTTAGTAACACAGTTGTTAAATGAATCTGGCTTCCCTATTGACTTTCTTGTCAGAAGGTCGTAAAAGATGATCTCATGATCTCGGGACACTGTAACCATCATAAATATGAATCAGTTGCTAAGTGCCTGAATTTTGATCATGTGACCAAGGAGATGCTACAATAGTCGTAAGTGTGAAAAACAGTCATAAGTCACTTTTTTCAATGCCATTATAATTTTGAATGGTTATTAAATGAACTGTTGTGAAGTCAAGCATTACCTGTAGTAACATTAAACTGTGAACATTGCTTTGATCATTTTCAATAGTATCACTCAGAGCTCATTATAAAAATGGAATTTAGTACAGTATGAAATATTAAACTTAAACATTGTTTTGTGGTAGCAATCTTTCCAACTGAATAAAGGAGACTGGTTAATTCTGTTGATATTAAATGATTAGTGTATAGAATAAGAACTGAACTGGAGAAATGCTCAAGATATAAGTTTGCAAACGTAGGTACAAGGCCAAAATCAAACAAATGGTCATTTTAATTATTATCATTTTAGAAATATTTATCTCATAGTTTTACGCTCTTAATGCTGTAAGTTGCCTGGAATCTCTTCAAAAGGAGATGGGCAGCAAATAAATTTAATAAATAAATAAAATAAAATAATTTTAAAATAATATTGGATTAGCACTAACACAGGGATTTAAATTCCAATGATTTTCAGGGTATAGCCCAGGCCGGGCTATCAACATAATAATTTTAAATTGGGGTATTTTAAATTTCTGGGATTTTAATTTGAGCCTAATCTATTTAATGATTTTAAATTTTAATCGTTGTTTTGTTTTGTGTTTTTAAATAAGCTGTACACCGCCCTGAGTCCTTCGAGAGAAGGGCGGTATAGAAATAAAAATATTATTATTATTTATTATTATTATATTTTAATATAACTTAGTCTCAATTCAAACCTTTATCTTATTGTTCTACTTCTTTAAAATTTTCTCTTGTATATCTATGCCCTTTCATATATGTACAGTCTCAGATTGTTAACATTGGAAATGCTCAATATGCCATGTGAATTCACTATTTCCATCCATCTTCCACTCACCTGTCCTTGTGAATTAGTGACTAGTTGACCTGTGACCCCCTGAAGACTGGAGAGTACATTGCCAAAAGCTTGTGAGTTAGCTATTGAGCCCATGGCGGCGGCTGCTGCTGCGGCTGTTGCTTGACTTGCCAGAGGATTATTAACCAGCTGAAAATGGGAATAAAAGAGGAAAGAATAAGGTTACTCACTGCAATTCAGTTCTATAGCTCGACATTATTAATAATCAGCTTGATGGGAAGGAACAGTTAATCTTAACATCTCAAAATGTGTTTGAGAGCTTTGATAATGTGAATATCAGGCAGTCCAATTCCAACACTTTATAAATTCTGTTGGAATAAGTGGAAATGATTTGACCTCAAGTGGATGGTAATGATAGTGAAATTTGGTGAAAGAGTCCTTTATATCAGTAGGGAGGTGTTTTTTTTTTAATACAAATGCAAGTTATTCAAATGGAATATGAGTTTTAAAAACATTATGTAAAACTATTTGATTAAAAGAGATTAATCAAAAGCAACTCTGAATTAGATACATATATTTGAGATGGGCAACTAAATAAATTTATTCAATAAATAAATACACTGTATATATCCTCCAATTATTCTCATTCAGCTGGGACAACCATAAGATGCAGAATTCCTCTCCCAGGAAAAATCTTGCAATCAAATTATCTATAATTTTATATAAATAGCCATATTTCATTCTTCTCTTTTTCTTCCGTCAAAACCTATATTAACTAAAATTAAAGGAAAATCCAGAAAATGTATATCTCACACAAATGTTTGAGTTACAGAATATAATGAAGTAAATTTATAGCAGTAATTAAGAAAACAATTTTTAAAATGGTAGGTGATGGGAAGAGAAGTCTTAAGTGTTCTATTAAATTTTTAAAATCCTATAAAAGGCAATTCAAAGTGTTTCAATTCACTATTAAAATTTCTGTTGTATTGTTCTAAAATAAAAAGTTAAAAGGAATATAGGAAATATTCTAAAAAATTGAATGTAGATGCTTAATTTACATTTGTGGCTGTCTCAATTATTATGGTCATTCACAGGTTATTTAATAGGGCTATAATTTTACGAATAATTTTTACGAAAATTATTCAGAACAAATGAAACCAAATGTGTAAGGACACAAGCAAAGCATATGTATAATTTCTCAGACTTCCTGTGAAATTAAAAAGATGTGATTAAATTAAAGTGCTGCATTAAAGAATAACTGTCTTAATAAGTTGACTTTTAAAACATCTTTTAGATTTTTTTTAAGGTGCAGGGAAGAGAAAAGGAATAAAGAGGAAAAAAAGGGGAAGTAGTAGCTCCTTAAAGAGGGGCTATATTTCTTTCAAGTGGCTCTTAGAGATCATTTTCAAAAGACACACTGTTCTATTATTTAATATATATTTTATATTGAAAGTAAATAAAATCTGAATGAATACTTGATTGTATTAAGATACCATGGTAGAAATATATATATGCCTGGTATAAAAACATATGAGCTTTCTGGGGACTTTAAAAAAGCTGATTTGCACCATTCATTATATAAATTTATTGTAGCTGAAAAATTTGCTGTCTAAATCTACTTAAAGTCAAACTTACTGTACTCAAGAATAACTACTGATAGGGATGTTGCTGATACAACCTGACTTGATTCAATATGAATTGACACAACCTAAGGTGACAGGAACAGCACACCACATCCTTCAACATACATCCTGCTTTCACTCATTACATGACATAAATTGTGGTATCTCAAGACATTTTTACTTCTAGCATGATTTGGTTGGAACAAATCCTAATTTTGTTTTCAATCCAAGATATTTAGCAGTAGTCTTAGCAACAACAACAACAACAACAAAATACATTTAAATAGCAAAAGTATTTTATTAAATCAGTCAGTTTGATTATACATATTCATCCACACTAGTATTTTGTGTTGTTAGGATAAAAAAATATTGGATAGAAATTAAGGAATACTGTTGGGACTCAGTTCAATCACATATTAAAAGGAAAGAGGGATATGATTGGGTTAGCTCAGGCTATATTTGCTAGCCAAATATATAAAATGATATATTATCAGAAAAATAAATCTGTAGGATCTGGATCAGTCACTGGGACCAGCGGTTTAGTCTTCCGAGCTTTTAGACTTATGCGGAAAAACATCCTCAGGGAACTTCTCTCTCCAGAATGTATGTTTTGGGCTAGGTGCCTGGTTGTGTGTGGCTTTTTATTTGTTGATTGGGATGTTGATGGTCAGCTATTAAGTTGTTGGCTGTTGTTTCGTTGTATTGCCAAATCCTCACTCCTAAGTACCTAGTCAGCTGGTGATAAATCAGCATTCCTGTTGACTTACAAAGGACCTGTTTCCCAGGCTTCAATCATTTCCCTGGCTATCTTTGTACCTGCTTGTCCAACAATCTTAGTTGCTGCAGAATTGAATGTATGTTCATTGCAATGTAAGGCGACCAATGAGTTTGGGTCTCCTTGTCTGACCACTCGCTTCTGTTCTTGCAATCTGGTGGTTAGTTTTTGCTGAACAAAAGTCCTTTGGTTGTTCAATCCTTAGCGCTTGTCAGAATTCTGTCATAAAATAAGTGCTTTTTTATGTGTCAGACTATAAGATAAGGAGAAGGCATCAGCTATGGAACAATTTATCTGTCTATTGGCTACATAATTCTATGCTTTGTAAAACCAATAGATTCTGATACAAACAACTGAATATTATTGGAATATGAATATGAATTCAGTAGCAATAAATGGATTCTCTAATTCAGGACTGCAGCTCACTACCAGTCTGCAGCCTGTTTGAAACCGGGCCACATGAGTGATGAGTTCAAGTACATGCACCACTCTGCTTGCACAAATGAAGTTGTGCAGTGTGTGTGCACCTGCTACTCACAGTCACACACACACACACACACACACACACACACACACACACACACACACACACACACACACATACACCAGTGACTGGCCAGGCCACCAAGGTGGAAAGGTTGGGTTGCTGCCCTAATTCCCTCCACTCCCACATGAATGTTGTTGAGAACTGGGTAATATACAAATATAATAAATAGATGTATTAATTAAACCTTGAGGGATTCTAGACAATGAACAGAATAAATATCATGATACAACATGATATAGCTAATCAAGTTATGCTGATAGAGGAAAAGAAAGAATATTAAGAAGTTTGAGAGTCTTGAAAAACTGGTTTTGGGAATAATAGTTATGGCATATTTTTAACATTGCAACAGCTGTAAAGAATAGCTTTCATAGAAACTTATCCTTTCCCTTCCTTTCTCCTACTCTTCCAGCACATATGATTCAGATTTTCAAGCTACTACTTAAAGTCTAATAACAGTTGTAGTTCTATTAAGGACCTATGAAAGATGTACACATAGTCTATGGATGCAATGGGGGGTTGAAGCAAATTCAATTTCAGTCCCTAATAAATAATTTTCATTGCCTGGAAATCTGCAGGATTTGATAGATGTATGACAGGAAGTTCAACATGATCAAGGAAACTAATTACAAATATCAGGAGATGCGGCTCTTATATAACAATACTGAATTATCATGATTGCTTGCTACAAGCATAAAAGCAAAGATTCTTGAATCAAATGTAGCCAGGAAGGTAGCCTAGCCTTTGTTAGAGAGGAAGTCGAGTGAATTGCAGGATTCAAAACTATGATATTTCTTCCCAATAACTGTGTGTGCATGTGCGCAGTGTTGATCTCTTTAAGTTTTCAATACTATTTCCTCCCCCCCCTAATCTCAGTTTTTCACTCTAAGCAACTTTTTTGTGATGACTTAATCTGGAACTATTTTGTTGCAAAATACATAATGTTGTTTTATATTTTGATCCCATGAATACATGACTTTCTTAATCTCACTTTTTTAGAACTTTTACCTTTTATGACATACAAAAAATAAATAAATTCTGGACTATGTAGTTGCTCTTGTGGTGTAGATTAGTCTAAAGTCAAAAGAGTGCTAAAGGAAGTGACTTATTCTCCATAATTTGATTTCTCCATCAGTGTTAGATGTAAGATACAGTTTTTTTAAAATTATAGATTGGTATTCCTACCTTTTAATGCCAAATGTAAAAAAAAAAGAGAGAGAGAGAGAGAGAGAGAGAGACGAAAATTCATGGAAAGACTTCAGTTATTCACAACTCTTAGTATTCTTATGATATTTAAAGTCAGGAAGAATAATTGTACTGAGTACAGCTTCAACAAGATCACAAACATGTCAAAATCATAAACATATAATTTGGAAAAAAGATAGATGACCACCCCAACAATGCCCTTGAAGTGATATCCCAGTGCCTGGAGGCCGTACGGATCTGGATGGGGAGAAACAGGCTCAGGCTCAACCCATCCAAGACCGAGTGGCTGTGGTTTCTGACATCCCAATATAGTCAGCTGGTGCCATCGCTGACTATTGGGGGCGAATCATTGGCCCCCACGGAAAGGGTTCGCAACTTGGGTGTCCTCCTGGATTCACAGCTGTCTTGAAGAGCACTTGACGGCCATGACCGAGAGGATTTTTCATCAGGTTCGCCTGATCCGCCAGTCTAGATCGGGACTCCCTACGCACGGTCACTCATGCCCTCATCACCTCCTGTCTAGACTATTGTAACGCTCTCTACATGGGGCTCCCCTTGAGGAGCACTCGGAGGCTCCAACTGGCGCAGAGTGCGGCTGCGCGGGTGGTAATGGGAGCGATGTGGCGCTCCCATGTAACACCTCTCCTGCGCGAGCTGCACTGGCTCCCGGTGGTCTTCCGGGTGCGCTTCAAGGTCTTGGTCATCACTTTTAGAGCGCTCCATGGCTTAGGACCTGGTTACTTACGGGACTGCCTGCTACCACCAATAGCCTCCCACCGACCAGTACACTCCCATAGAGAGGGGCTCCTCCGGGTGCCGTCGGCCAAACAATGTCGACTGGCCCCCAGGGGGAGAGCCTTCTCTGTGGGGGCACCTACTATCTGGAACGAGCTCTCCCCGGAGATACGGAGGATTCCGGATCTCTGTACCTTCCGTCGCACGCTCAAGATATTCTTATTTCATCAAGCTGGCCTGACCTAAGTTTTTCCCCTTTTTAAATGGAAATTTTAAATTTGGTTTTAAATTTTCAGCCAAATTATTT